CAGCCAAAGATGCTGCGTTGACGTTGACGTGGACGTGGACGTCGCTGCCTACGGCTTCTACCAGCAGCTAAGCAAACAGAGCAAAGTCAAAACCCAGAGACGGGGGGTGGGTGGCCCAGCTGCGTCGGCAGCGCGCCTCGCTGATTATTTTAACGCATTTACACCCTGAGGACAAACGCTAACTGCGACGCTGGCGTCGCACCAGCACCAACACCAGCATAAAAATTGCATACGAAAGACGGCCGATAAGCAACGTGACGTAGGCGGCGCGACGTCGCAATTTTCTGCGTGCAGCTCTTCCCCCCAGCCCCTATACCATCACACACACACACACATACACACAGCCACATGGCCTCATCCCTTGGCTTGTATTTTCCATATGGGCGCATTTATACGCATTCGTTTTCAATTGAAAATTCCGCTTGCCGCGCCCTCTCCCTCGTCTGCTGTCAGTCGGTCGTTTGTTTTGCTATTATCGTTGCTTTTGCTTTGCTGTTGCTGGTTTCCCACCCCACCCACCCCCCACCCAGCCTTCCGCTTGGGCCATCACTAGGCGATTTTCTTGCTGGCTTTGCGTATAGAATTTGTCATCCGTTGTTGTTGTTGTTGTTGTTGTTGTCTTTTTATCAACTGATATTTTTTTTTCTGCTCTTCTCTTATGTTTTTCGCTTCGGCTAACGCGCTCAAAATGCAAGCCATATAAACTTTCATTGGAAATTGCTTTTGTTTGTCCCTTTTTTTTCTAATATTATTTATATATCATTTGTATTTGCATTACTTTATCTTTATCAAATTTTCCTGATTTGTTTTGCAATTTTCAAGCTTTTCCATTTTGCGTGCACCCCGAAGCTGTTATCACTGATAACAAGGGTATATTTTGTTGTTTCTGCGATGACTTTTTACCGCTGACTAAAGAAATACGTAAAAGAGTTGCGGTTTTTTTTAGGGGAATTCACAAAACTTAACGGAATCAATTTAATTTGTGTTTTTGTGCAATTCTACAATTGCTTGAATGTCGGCAACACCTCGATTTCGGCTTAAAATACAGTGTTATTGTCTATTTATAGTAAACATCAATCACTTAAAACTCAGGTAAACAATCTGAAAGCTAATGTGTCGCTTTTGAGCTATGGGAATTTCTAATATGCGCATAGAAACAGGTTTACGACTGATCCGCTGAAATTCGCACGAATCGTGACGTGTTTGTTGGTTTTCTATTGAAAAAGGGTCTTGACATTTAAAAAATAAATACAAAAAGTAGTTTAAAGAGTTCATACAAATATGAAACAAATAATACTGACAAAAAATACTAAAACAAAGCGATAGTTGGCGAGGCTTCGATAGATATCGTAACGTAAGCTCTCACATATGTATGTTACGTGGCATATGAAAGTATAACAGTTTGTAGAGTAATATGACAGTATAACAGTTAGTAGAGGCATATGACAGTATAACATTTAGTAGAGGCAGGTGGCAAATCAACTGTCAAAGGCTGCAATTCCATTCGACATTTGCCCACTGCAAACATTTTTTGGCCTATCTTTATGGCCAATTTGCAGTTTTGCCCACAATAATAAATTCCGTTTAATGATCGCGATGATTGAACCTAGCCAAAGGCGGCGGAGACGTCGCCAGGTTGTTTGTCAGCGACTGCAACTATTATTCGTGTCTATCGTCTACAAACAGGAGAAATAACGCATTATATTTTAAATGATTTATGTTTACGAGCTGTAAGCATACAAAAAGTCAAACGGGCGGCCAAAAGAAAAATACAAACATTCACTTGAAAATTGGCAAAAAGAAAAAAAAAAACAACCATCGTAGAAAACGGTCAAGTCCCGAAAAGACAGCGAAGCCAACGCCAGCAGCGACGCTGACGTTAAACGTAGCGCCGCCAAGCCGCCAGCTGATGCGAAAACACTTAGAGAGTACATGAGCGCATGAGATGTTAACGTCAACAGCGACAGCGACAGCGACGTCGGCGTCGGCGTCTCTGCTGCAGTTGCCAATTGCTGCTGGGCTGTCGAGTGCTCAAATTTGTTTCTCACGCGTTCGCCAAATGCCAAAAAACCACTTGTTTTGAGTTTTTTTTGGCGAGCACGAGTAGTTGGCTGCTGCAGCGGCGCCGCTCGTTTGAAATCATGACAGAAATGACGCCAGCGTCAGCGGCGACGCCAGTGGCAATTAACGTCGTTTTACACGCGAACGGCAAACGAAATGTGCCAAAAGCGAACGGCTAAACAAAATTGATGAATGAAGTAATAATTGCCCCAATATGCTCGACTTTTGCTCCACTGTGCGAATTTGGGTGGTGGCGCTGCGGTTGAGTCAGACGACGACGACGACGGCGTCGTTGACGTCAACGCAGCTCCCTCACACTCTTACACTCTCTCACTCTCTTGCTTTTGTTGGCGCTCTCGGCTATACGAAAAGGGCATAAAAACACCCCCGCCACAATTGCTTTTTTCCGGTAACAGAGTTTGTTGTTACAAGCGGGGGTTAGAGAGAGCGCCTCGCACAGTGAGCAGCAACGCTGCCAGTATGTAGTTCCGTTTGTGCCAGAGACATCGCCGCATACCGGCGCTTTTCTATTACATTTTTTTTATTCAGCCGCTCCGCTCTCACTGTCAGTGCTGCCAGACAGCCGCCCATTCATTTATATGAGGCGCTCTCACTCGCACTTGAATAGCGCGCGCACACTCTCACTCTGTCACACTCTCGTGCTCTCTTTTCGTTGAGCACTGCGCATGGACCGCTCTCCACCGGTTTCTGGATTGTGTTTGTCGTCGCCTGTCTTTGCGTTCAGTTTCATTTTAATTTTTGTCGTGGCCAGTTCGTTGTGCGCGTGGTTTAAATCAAAGAAATTCAAACAAAATTGAAATCAGCTGGGCTGGACACTCACTGTTTGTTCGTTCGTTCTGTTTGTTCAAAGCTCACAAAATTTTGCTACGTGTACGCGCCGACGACAACAGCAGAATCAGAAGCAGCAGCAACAACAACAACAACACAACTAGAGCTAGCTAACTGTGTTTGTGCATACAGTTTCTCGTCTCTATTCGTCTCTCTTTCTATATGTGCATGTGTAAATGTGTGTATATTGCGTGTGCTTAACTTAAAGCTGACGTCGTCTCGTCATCATCCTCAACGTCAACAACAACAACAACATCTAAAACTACAATAAAGTTAACAGCAAGAGAGCAGCAACAATTATATTAATCATTGCAAAAATTATAAATTATAACAGTAAGGTAGTGAAATATTATCGTATGTGCGGTTTTTTCATTGTTTCCTCTACATTGCCTTCGTCGGCGTTCGTCACTGTCTGTCATTGTATATATATGTATGTGTGCGTATGTAAGTTTGTGAAACGGCATTAAAAAAAAATATAAAAATAGCAATAGAAAGTTATTAAAGCGTTTTTGCAAAAATAAAAAAGGAAAAAATCCGCCGCAGCAAAGGCAGTGAGCAAAAGCAAGCAAAAAATACATACATATTTTTAAACACATCAAAAAACAACAAACAAAAAAAAAAATAAAAATAAAAAAACAAAAAAAAAAATAAAGGAAAAGAAGCAAAGTCAAGAAAAATAGTTAAAGCTTACGTTGCCTGCCGCTCCGACAACGCCATCGCGCGTTCTCTCTCGCACTCTCTCTCTCTCTGCTTACGTCGCTGCCAGCGTCGCCGTCTACGTTCACGTCTCGGGGCGCACTTGAAAACGTCGCAAAAGTTTGTAAACAGCAGAAAGCTTTGTGCAGCTGTGTGCGTACGCTCTTGCGAATTTGCGCGCGTGTGTGTGTGCAATAGAAAAGTGAAGAAGCAGCGGCAAAAAGCAAACGCCATCAACGTCGTCGACGCCGCCGTCGTCATCGTCATCGCCAGCGTCAGCGTAGTCGCTCTCCAGCCGCAGCAGCTGTCAAATACAAAACAAAGTAAATAAAACCAATTGCCCAAAGGCCATCATTTTAAGTAGGCTCTCAATCTATTCTACTCTTTATTCTTTCCCCTTTCTCGGGAAACAAAAAAAAAATGGGAATAATTAATAACAAAATCTAACCCAACTATTTGTTCTTATGTCCTCTGTGCGTGCGTGTGTCGCTCTCAATTGTCTGTGTTTGTATTTCTTATTTTTATTTGATTGTGTTTTTTTTCTTCGCTACGCTCTTGCGTCGTATTGCGCCCACACACAGAAATTTGCTGAAAAAAGCGGCCATAATAAAGTTCAATGTCTGCCGAAACAACAATAACAACAACAACAAACGCAACAGCAACAGCAAAGCAAAACATTTTTGCCGAATTTCGTTTTAATAAAATTTATTACCCTGCTTTTGTTGTTGTTGCTTGTTTGTGTGAAAAATTAAATGAGCCACAGCCGTCAGCTTTTGTCTATGTGCGTGCATGTGTGTGTGTGTGTGCGTGTGTGTGCAGAATTTTCATAGCGGCTTTTATTAAACTCTTGTGCGATTAAAGTTGAACAGCTTTTAGTTGTTTCTTTTTGCTCAAATGCCAAGCGTCAAGAATAAGACGAGACATGGCGAGCAATAGAGAGATGGAGAGAGCTGCAAACAGTGAGAGCCACACACACTCTCACTCACACGCACACACACACGTTTACGCTCACAATTTGTCAGCAAATTTTATAGCGGTTGTTTTTTCGCTTTAAAATTGGAGCTGAGTGTTGGTAAATCAGCTGATTTTTTGCCAATTGTGCTTGTGTGTGAGTGTGCGTGTGTGTGTGAACTGGGCAACCCCTCTAACAGTTCTTGATTTCCTTTTATTAAACATAAGTAACATTTTTGATTGTCACGTATGCCAATTACTGTTAACTAAAGTAGATGAAATTAGTTTTTATATTATACTATATATTATACTTATTTAATTTTTATGTATTATGTTGAATGGTGCGCTATTCTTCTTCTTCTCCTTCTTCAACTACAACTACAACTCTGTCTCTGTCTCTCTCATTTGTCTGATATGTCTGTACGATTTGCATTTGTTTCTAGGCATACCAGTGGGTTAATCAGCTCAGCACTTTGGAGGTTAGTACAATTACAATACCCACACGAAACGTACAACATTAGGCTTTACTTTATTTTCAGTTTTAATCAATGTATCTATTTATGTATATATATTTTTCTTATGTACAAATTCGTTGCTTTTATTTTGATTCGTATTTTTGATTTGTATTTAATGCAAGCATTTTACGTTATGTTTTCTTTTTCGCAAATTCTGTTTCCGTTTTTTTTGGCATTATCACGAGCTGGGTTAGTCAGCCTCATGTTATGGTTTGTGCCTTGCACGAAAGAGTGCAGCAACCGAACCCGGTGCCTCTCCCCCGTACCCGCCGAGCCGCGTGACAGCCGGCGACTGATTAGCTGCACCCTCCTCCCATATCTTTTGCTGAAGTCCAAGGTTAAACCCTTTTGTGAGGGCAATGTACATATTTGACGCGAATTTTCGGTGTCACGTACTTCTCCCTCTCCCTTTCCTGCTGCCGTTTCTCATTTTGTTCTCCTCTTCTGCTGCTGCTTCTCATATTTTTTTTTTTTTAACAGTTTTGTATACTTTGTCTGTTCTGTTCGCAACCCTCGCTGAAATTACTATGCAGTTGGTTTTGGAGTTATGGCTCGAGGGGTTGGGGAATGGGGCGCATTCAACGGAACTTTCTCCTTTACAAACACACACACACACACACACACATACGAAAAGTTGCAGTCATTGCACCCTCCTTGACTTTGTAGTTGTTGCTGCGACTCTCTCAATTGCCCTGCCCGCCCCTCCTTTTCGCTCTGCCGCATTCTATCTCTCTCTCCTTTTCGCTCTCTCTCTCTCTCTCTTTGGTGCACTTGTCTCACCTAACAGACATCGTTAACCTGCCTGGGCAAATACCAGCAACAACAACAACAACAACCCCCTAAGGGCGACCGCCTCTGTTTTATTTCGGTAACAAAGTAAAAGTTGTAAAAACACAAAACGTGCAAAACAATCGTGAGAGAAAGAGAGAGTAGATAACCAAAAAAAAAAAGCTACTGACGTCCATGGCGGCTTCTGCTGCTGTTTCTGCTTCTTCTTCATCTTGGCTCATCTTTGGCTTTCAGGTTTTATGTCCTGGCCGGCGCTTTTATGGTTTGTTCGCAATTTTTGATTTACATATTCCCTCTTTTATTTGTTTTCATTTTTTTTTTTTTTTGACAGGCGCTTCCTCTTTGCCCCTCTCGCCGCTTGCACTTATCGCGCGGCGTCGTCAACTTCCGGGACTTGCCAGGATATGAGCACAACACAGCAATTTGTTAGCAAAGTTGCTCCGCACCCACCTCGCCCCTTTTCCGACCCCTGGGGGGGTTGCTGTTGGCGTCAACGATTTGTGTTGTTTTTTTTTTTGTTGTGTTTTGTTATTTTGAACGTGCTTCAAAATGCAAATCCAACACAAAAACAACGCAGCAAAACGCAGCCATAACAAAAATAATGCTGTAAAATGTTCAAATCACACACGACACACAAGATAAATGAGAAAACAAATTTTAAAAATATATATATTTTAAAGAAAAGCAAACAAATATTAACAAAGGAAAGCCACAATGTCTGTCTTTTTGTGTTTTCATACAAACAATTTTCATTAGTTTTATTGAAAACGTTGTCTCAAAGCTGTTTTCATTCAAGAAATGACCTCGGGGCAGACATTCTTCACTCCAGTCAACATTTGTGCATAGTTTATAAGCTACCCCAACTTGGTAACTCAATATTTTAGACTAATTGAAAGGCCACATTAGCCAAAATATCAAATTTACGTCAACAATTAATGGAAAAAAAAAGGAAATGGAGCTCGGAGAGTGTTTGCTCAGGCTCGAGAAAGTTACTGCTATTATATAAGGTTATACTAGAGAAATAATGTTAGAGGTTCAGATGCTATAAAACATATTATCTTTAACACTTTTCTATCTAGAATCTTAGAGCATTCGTTAAATTGTTATACAACTGAATCATTATATAAGGAATTATGTTAATGAGACAAACTCAAAAACTTCAACGCTCTAGTCTTAGGCAGATAGTTTCTTTGTACTTTTTCTTGGAAATCAATATATATATATATTTATAGTATATACATAGTCGTTAAGATTTCGCAATGGCAGTTGCACTTGGCATTCTCTAAACACAAAACCAGAGGCCTTTTAAATAACTGTGAATTCCCAGAATTTAAACAACATTAACACACACTTACGCACACACACACACACACACACACGAACCCATACTTATGGCAATTCTTATCAGCACACAAATTGTAGCTCCCGTCACGTTCATTTAACAACAACAGCAATAACAACAACAGGCTCGGGCAGATACTAAGTATACGATAAAATATTTCCACAAGTTCCATAAACAAAACCCAACGCGCGTTGACTGTGTTTCTAGAGCGTTTTCTTATCAGTTTTGAGCAAAAACAAGAACAAGAGAAATTATGTCAACTGTTTTATATATATATATTTTTTCGCTTATTTTTCTATAACTTTTTATAACTCTCGGCATTCGTCATCCGCTGAATCGAAACTGAATCGATTCGACGCCGACTGCCAGGCACCGGCATCTCGGTTATACGATCTTCGATCGAGCGATCAAGTGATCAAGCGAAGCGTCATAGAGTCGAGTTTTAATTTCGCTTTCCGTTGAAGTAGTTCAGCTCGGTGCGGGTTGGCATTTGATGATGATTCAACAATGTGGCATTGCAATGACTTATCGATAAATGTTTATCGATTATTAGGCACAAAAGAGAAGTAGATAGACAGCTCTCATTTAGCTACAATTAAAAGTTGTCATTTTGATGATGTCAGCAAATTAGGGAAATTTTCGCCACACAATTGTGTGAGCTTGTTTCGCTGGAATAGTTCAGATCGGGGGAATTCGCAATTGCAAAGAAATATGAACGATTAAAGGCGAAAAAATAAAGCTTAAGTTATATGAATACTAGTCTTGATTTTGGCAAGTGCTTTGCTTGGATTTTTCTTTTTTAAATGTTACACATTAGTCGACAATCTTAACAGCTAGCTGCTAATGCCAAGCTCTTCATACATTTTCACCCATATTCCACTCATGTGAATTCACATTCACCTATAACCAAATTTGCTTAAACAGCGAAATAGTTTTAAGTGTACAAACTTAGCAATATTTGCCTAGCTTTTGAGTTACTTTAACTTTTGATGCCTTTTTTAATCTGCTCTCATGTGGAATTCTAGGGTATTGCCACTTCGGTTTGGTTGAACACTTGCAACCTTTGCTTCATTATGATTCACTCTGCGCTGTCTGCGTCTACTTTTTTGTCAGCGTTTGCAGGTGGTTTTTATGGCACCTATTTCTATTTTAGTGCACTTAGCACTGACCGGCACCTGCCTCTCCCTCCGCCGAAATGCCGACCGCTTAGACGTAGATCTAATAAAATTAAAACGCAAGAAGATTGTGAAACTTTGTGTTTGGAGATGCATAAAAAAGCGTAAGCGTAAGGTCACTTTTGTTGTGTGTGTTGTTTGAGTGAGTGAGATTGTCTGTGTGTGTGTGTTTGCTCATTCATTTGATTTTATTTGCTTTATTTTCGAATGAGTCATTTTCAATTACACACAGACACACACACACACACACTCGCACACTCGAGCATATTTAGCTTAGATTCACTTGCGGCTTCAATTGTTGTTGCAGTCGCTGCTGCAGTGTAATTAACGTAGGCGTTTTGTTCCTCCCTTCCCTCTTTTCCGGTTCCTCTGTTCGTTCTGGTGTTTCCCTTCGCTCTGGGGACGCATTTGTTGCCGTGGCACATGCGGCGTATAAGTGATAAAAACATTTTGTGTGCTTTCCCTTTAACCAATGTGCTGTCGTTGCCGGTTGCCGTGAGCCCGTCCATTTGGATATTAGCCAGTTGCAGTTGCCAGTTGCCCGGCCACGTTATGAATATGTTTTATGAGCTCCCAGCTGAACAGCCGAACAGCCAAATAGCCAAATAGCCGAATAGCTGAATAGCTCGTGCGGCCTGCAGTGCATTTGGCTAATTGTTTTAATGGCTTTGCATGTTGTGTGAAGTTTTTTTTCGACTTCAACTGATTGAATTGCACAGATGCATTAAATATCAAACATAGTTATACAATGAGAAGTTTTTAATTGTTAAAAATATATAATGTTCTTAAAAGGGAACTTTTTTCTGATTGCATATGGGCTTATGTAATTATTTCTATATAACATGTATTTGTATATTTTAAAAACTAGTTTTACTTAATTAAAATTGGGATCTCTTTGTGGGCCTGTGGGCTGTCCGATAAATGTCCAGGTGGTTATATCCATTTTGTGGCCCATTGGCTGTTGATGAGCTGTGGTTGAGGTGGGCGAAATTTAGCTTTGATAGCATTCTATCAGCCATCTGTTGATTGCTCTACAATCTTTTTTTCGGTTAAAAAGTTATCCTTTAGTCTGCATGATGGTACGTATATAATTTATGTAGCCGTTCGTAAATAAGTTCCTGCTTGAATGACATTATTTCTTAAGACATCTTAAACAAACTCTGCCAATTCCTTCTGTGCGTTCACTCATATTCCTTTCACACACTCGCTTCCATCTGGATGTACGGTATCTGTAAATGCTCTGTCAGTATAAAGGAAAGCTTCTAACTACTGGATTCCTACAACAGATATATAGCAAATATTGAGCAAATTATATGAAAATGAAGCATAATTTATCGCTCAAGTATATATGGATAGATATGTAGTTCAAAATAGGCTATAATACCTTTTTAGTGCATGTCAGTGTTATTAGTTCTGCTTAAATCTGCAACTTACGCACTTTTCCAGGGTATTAGTTCAGCTTAGAACTTTGTGTACTTTGGATTTTCCATTCATGTTTCTCATTTTGTTTGAACTCTTGCAACCTTTTGTGTCGCTTTCCAACTTTTCTACTGCTTTCACTTGCCTGTTTAGTTGGGCTAATGCCTCAAATTGACGGCGCTTGGCTTACCCTGGCCCCGCCCCTCTCAACCCCTTCCTCTCGCTCTCTCTCTATCACT